ACGTTTTTCCAAAATTAAGTGATGAAAAGCTCAAGGAAGGTATATTTGTTGGACCACAAATTAGAAAACTACTAAGTGTCAACAGTTTGATCAAAAATTAGGTAATGTTGAATTAGCTGCGTGGAGTTTTATCAAAAGAATTGTTTCGGAATTTTTAGGGAACAAGAAAGTATATGCAGGAAATTTTCTGTGAAGATTCCTGCACTGACGCCTGTCGGATATAATCCAACGCCCTTCGTGGTAGTAGTCAGGGGAGTAGTTGTTTTCTGATAAACGTCAGTCCATTCAACTTACTGTGTAGGTATATCGAGACTGGCCTGAACGTTTAAAGTTCATTTCTTTAGATAAACAAGAAAGTAGAAAATTGAGAAACATTTGTAGAAGAACTACTTGAAAACTACTACAGAATAGGATGTCACATGTCTCTCAAAATTCGTTTCTTGCACTCCCATTTGAAGTTTTTCCCAGAAAATTTGGATGCTGTCAGTGACGAACAAGGGGAAAGGTTCCACCAACTGACAATGGAGCAGGCAGATGCGATGCAGCAATGATGGTTGATTATTGTTGGTTCCTCATGAAGGACAACGATTAAACATATAAACGAGAGTCAACATTTGAAAAAAGGTTATGCACAACAGACTTCATTTGAATGTTTTTTCATGTGTATTGTAAATAAAGTCTGTTATTCTCAAAATATATTGTTTTATTCTTGTTTTGATCTTATATTTCCCTATAATATGTGAAAATGTTTGTATAAAATGAAAATAACTATAACTCAAAATCTTTACGTGAAAATTTTTGATGTTGAAGTCGAAGTCACGTCGCTTTAAATTCTCATGAATAGCCATCATAATATAGTCGCATTTTTGTTCTTATTTCTTGGCTAGTGTTATTGATAAAAGATAAAAGAGAAACTTCAATGAAAGAAGATAACAAATTGAATGAGTTTGTGAGAAAACAACGTACTTCTAGATGGAAAACTTTGGCACAATTGGATTCACGTAGCTAGCCATCCATGCATAGATAAAAATGACACCAACTCAGGAGCCGCCATGGTGCATGTGATATTTCGAAGGAAAAGATAAAAGATGAGGGAATCTCATATATACAGTGTCACCGATAAAGTCCGCATCAAATGGGAAACTTTTTTATTTATCGTTTTATGTGAAATTTGATTTTGGCAGTAGATTTTGCTTAAGAAATGATGTCAAATGGCGTCTACAAAATAGGTCACGTGATTTCCTTAACCTGTCAAAATTGACATTTAAAAAAAGAAACATCGAAAAATGANACTTTTATTTTTCAAAATTTGTTTTTAACATCAAAGAGGCTCTTAAAATATTATTATATTACAAAAAAAGAAATTCGGTGACGAGTTTAGTTAAAATAAATGATTTAGTACAGGTGTGCTTAAATTTTGATAAGTAGAAAAAGCAGGAATGCGGAAAAATAGTGAAAATATAAAATACTTATTATGGGTTTGAAACTTGGTGTGTGGGTATAAAATTACAAAAGAAAATGTTTTTATCCTTTGATATTTTTGGATATTTTGAAGAATAATGTCATTTTTCGATGTTTCTTTTTTTAAATGTCAATTTTGACAGGTTAAGGAAATCACGTGACCTATTTTGTAGACGCCATTTGACATCATTTTTCAAGCAAAATCTACTGCCAAAATCAAATTTCACATAAAACGATAAATAAAAAAGTTTCCCATTTGATGCGGACTTTATCGGTGACACTGTATAAATCTTGTTTCACAATTTCCTATAAATATGCAGTTATTGGAAAAAAATGTATTGTAGTAATAATTTCAGTTCGTTTTCCAAAACTAAATTGGATTCAACAACTTTAGGTTTGTCCTGGTTCTACGAAATTCAGGTTATTGAGGATAATTTCGGATTGATGAATCCTCTGTTCTGGTTTCGACTGCGAAATGATCCTAAACTGTTTTGAACCGTCTCGAATCTATCTTGCTCTCGAGGCTGATCTGTTGAGAACTGTGCCCGTTGCTCATGCGCATTCATGTGGAAATTCGTTTGGGCTATTTTCTAGGACGTTTTTTTATTCATTTGATTCAAATAATTGATGATTGAAGTTAGATAACATTTGAACTGACCAAAAGGATACGCTATACAACAAAATGGACATGATCAACAGTATTTTCTCGTGTTCATCTCTTCATATATATGATAGGTGACACAGTGGTCTCCTCAAAATATTTTTTGGTTTAACCAAGTGTCAGAGACTATTTCGGACTGTTTGAGATTTTTTGCTTGTACGCATCATGTCTTGCGCAGTTTCCAAACAGTTTCGGATGTTAGAACCAGAACAAACATTTCTGAAACTCTACTTCACTAATTCTACTTTAGAGAAAAACTTTCATACACTTACCTCTCATGTCTGAATTCGACAATTTATCAATTAGAATATCAAACATTCCCCCAATCATCAATTCACGCTCATTTGTAGGATCCAAAATGTGTTTAACGATTTCCACTGTATGCTTTGGAGACAGGAGTAAAACTTTGATAAGAAACGTTGAGCACTTTTTTCCTTCGATGTTCTTCATTTTGAAAAAAATATTGTAACTCTTGTTGAAGCGGAAAAAGTATCGCAACGTTTTGATGATTTCCTTCAAAAAATCCTCCTTGGCGCCGGTCTTTTCCCACTCCGCGGTGACCTTCATGAATACGGAGCACAGAACATTCATCGCCTTGAAGGATCCGAAGAGAGCCGAAACCGTACGGGGGTTTAAAAGATATCTGAAATTGATAATATTACTATGAAAAATGATGAATGAATCTTTCTGTTTTGAACTTATACATTGAAACAATGCATAAGTTTGAAAATATCCTCAAAGGACGAAACTGTAGTAACAATGGTTACTAAATATTACTGAGTTTTTTCCCCTCTTGTTTTTTCCTCAGTTTTATCTTCCTCTTGAAGATGATCACTTGGTGATCGAAACACGTGTCGAGGTGTAAAAGTAACGATTTGGTGTTGGGGAAAAAACTCTAGTAATATTCATTACTACACCAAAGATTCCAAATAGTACATCACAAGTAAAAATGGTTACTAGTCTTTAATACCACGTAGTAACGGCTACGTTTATCAATTCATTGACAATATTACCCTTCAAAATGTGGAAATGGAATCATCCAATTGTATAATTCATAATAAACATTGGAAAAATAGAAAGATGCTATTTATTAGCTTAACTAACAAAAACAATAAAGTTTTTCCAATAAAAATATGAAAATATGAGTATATGCTTACATACCAAGAGAATTAAATATAATAAATCAAAATAAATAGTAAGATGATGATATAAATTAGAGATTTCAAGACTATTTATCCTCTTAGTGTTTCAAACTTCCTCAATTCCAAAACTGTGGGTTCTTTCCCTTCGAATCTGTCATTAACCGTTTTTGCGTTAACAGGAGATCATAACAGCTGATATTATTTTCAGACATATTAGCAATCTGGTCTAATGTTTGACGGTGAAAAAAAGTAATTTTTAGTATACTTGATCTGAGTTGGGAAAATATCATAAAAACGCCGTTCCCTTGATTTGCCTGAAACTGCTCAACTATATCCAGAGTGGTTAAAGCTTTCGCATCCGAGGTTTAATGTCACTAGTTTTCGGGTTTCGTGAGTGACTAACTACTTCAAGGGTTTACACATCCTTAATTATCTCCGATGAAGATCGAAGCTTTCGATTGTTGAGCAATTTTTTCAATTCGGAACATTCAAACACAAACAACACTACAGAAGAAATATTTCAGGCGCTCTGAGAAAATAGCAATTCATGTTAGATTTGAATCGCTAAAGATTAAATTCATTTAGAAAAATGTTCCCAGACAATTTATTCCACATGAAAGCAGTTCTCCAAATAGAAGAGTTCTTAAACAGTGGAGTTCCAGGTGTACTTAGTTTAACCTCAAAACAATTATCAGCCACACTCCGTCGCGTATTACTGATATGTAGCGCTCTTTGTGTAATCAAATGTGCCAAGTCACTTAACACTTGAAATTATCCATAAAAGAGACACAAATCTCCAACTTTCCTACTTGCGACTATTAAGGTCGCAAGTGATGTTCTTGTCTCCAATTAGGCAAATGACTCTTTTCTGGATAGAATACAGCGGCTTGAGGATATGCTTAAAATCTGTTTAAATCTGTTTAAAATCTCTTTTTCCGTTAATCAGCTGGGGATCCATACATGTGAACAATACTCCAATAAAGGACTGATCTCAGCTTTATGAATCATAAAAATTTGCCGAGGTGTGTACTGTTTTGTGATTCGGAATATTGCAATTCCAGCGGCATTATTGTGCCAATAGATATTGGTGTCCATTTCAAAACCTTACAAATCAACCGAAGCAGAGAGCAGAATTGTCTGTCCCGACAATGCGGTTCGGAGACATTTATCTATTTGAAGAAAACCGATGCATGAGTTTTGGTGGCTGTGATCGTGATACTAGTTTATGGTACCACTGGTTAGCCCGAATGCTATCAATTTTCTTCATGGAACGGGTAAACCTGCATATATGTTTTGCTTGAAAAACTTAATGGAAAATTGCATTGACAATAAACAAAAGAATTTAATTGTTTTGAATCTTAAATATCAAATTTTAAAACAATAAAAAGGTCACCGATATGGTTAAGTAATCAAAAAATAATAAATTTGTAAAATACGAAATATCTGACCTCCTTTTTACGTATCTTTTATTATAACATGAGTATTTTTTATAACATTTCCATATTATTGGAGTTTTTTCCCAACACCAAATCGTTGTTTTTACACCTCGACACGCGTTTCGATCACCAAGTGATCATCTTCAAGAGAAAGATAAAACTAGAAAACTTAAGCTATTTAGGCTATTCAGGTACATCATTCAGGTAGGTAGGTAATCAGTAATACCACCCATACAAGTGTACCACCCTAAATTGATTTAACAATTGGCCTTTCTATTATTTTACAATATTTCCTTATGTATGTTTAAATGTTACAGCTATATATAGAACAATTTCCAGCTATTTAAAATTAGTTTCACAATAATTGTCCTTTCTGAAAGTCGAGATTTCGTTCATTCTTAACCTAAACTTCTTCTTCCTAATTATGTCATCTACAATACTCCTCGGGAAACCGTTAGTGGCTGCTATTTCCGGTATTGTACGTTTTTCTTTGTGAACCTATCATGTGTTAGAGGGAAAGTCAAAAGACAATGCCCCAAAAAATTCAACCCAGCACGTTTGTGCTGTCCACAATGATGTGAACTGTCAGGAATTAAAAGAAACAAGCACGTACAGGTATAAGACACATTGTAAATATATTTAGATAGGCAATATTGTGAAACTAATTTTATATAGCTAAAAATTGTTCTATGTATAGCTGTAACATTTAAACATACATAGGGACATATTGTAAAATAATAGAAAGGCCAATTGTAAAATTAATTTAGGGTGGTACACTTGCATGGGTGGTATTACTGATTACCTACCTGTATGATGTACCTGTGTAGCATAAACAGCTTCAGTTTTGAGAAGTTTCTAGTTTTATTTTCCTCTTGAAGATGATCACTTGGTGATTGAAACACGTTTTGAGGTGTTAAAAATAACGATTTGGTATTGGGAAAAAACTCCAGTATTATTCATTACTACACCAAAGGTTCCAAACAGTACATCATAAGTATATAACATTTCCAAATGAACATTACTGGTTTTAGTCATTCTTGATATTGCTAGTTGTTTCAAAAATACATTTTTTTATTTCTACGATATCTTCTCACGATACTGAAAAAAATATTGATTTGAACAAAATTTATAATTACATTTCAACTTCTGATCAAATAATAAAAATGAAAATAAAAATAATCAACTCATTACTTCAATTAAATTCACAACTGATGATTGTAAACATTTTTTCACATATACATTTCTCTGAAAATCATACCAAAATTTTATTCCGATCCATTTTCTCTGATTTGTTCTTGTTTCGTCAATTCATGATTCGTCACCTGCTGCAAAATTTCTTGTTTCGTCACCTGTTTCTTTTTGACCTTTCGCAGGTAATAATTTATTCCGCATTCGTCAACTGGGACTACTAGGGACATAAAAGTCCGTAAACCTAAATTCTTTTCAATGCTTATTTACAATAATATATTAATCAATAATCTACACTAATATTATAAAGAGAAAAGATTTGATTTTTCGTTTGAAGAAGGCACACTTTCCCAATTTCTAGACTTCATTTGGAATCGAATTGTTTAAACCGTATTTAATTATTTTTAAAATAAAAATTCATAATAGAAGCCCAGGTGCAAAGATGAGGTGACGAAACAAGAACACGTTAAGCAGGTATATTTTGCAGTTGACGAAACAAGAATAAAATGGGTCATAACAGGTAAAATTTTCCTAGGTGACGAAACACAAATTGACGAAACAAGAAACTACCTTTTCTCTGATAATATACAAGATTATTCAACATTTGTCAAAATTTTTCATCTGTCATCATTCTTTATGATTGTAAATGTATGCCATTTCATTTGTAGACCTCATTTTGGTGAGTTATTTTCATATATTCTTTCAATTTATCGTTTGCTTTCATTTTTCAATTTAAGATATTCTTGAAAAATGAAATAAACGTTCCGAATTGTCTACCAAACCCAAATAAAATAAAATCTATCCATCCATATTCAAAAAACACACTTTGATGTGAGATTTTCACTCGAAAGTTTGAAAAACCGCGATTTTGAAAATTTTCAAGTGGAAATCTCACATGAAAGTGTGTTTTTTGAATACTCTTTTACCTGATTCTCCGCGAGAAGAAAGAAGCCAAGCAATCAGAAAAGAGATCGCAAAAAATATTTTTCATTTCATCCAAAACAAAAATCAATTTATAGAATACATAGTTATCTGTACTTTCTTTAATTCTTACCTAAAAAACAGTAACGTCGTGTCAGGAGCAGTTTCAGAACAAGTTTCACTCGCAGCCATTTTCAAAAACATCAAAGCACGTTTCACAAATTCGGGATATACACTTGTGATTTTGTAAGCAAACTCCTTATTATTCTCACACATTTTTGCAAGAGTATGAAATATTTTCTCATTGATTGAAGTTTCTTCGGGATATCGCTCCATCAATCTGGTTAATGATGTCAAAATTCTAAAATCCGCCTAAATCGTGAAAAATCAGATTAATCATCGAGTATGCTCAAGAAACTCAGTTTTATACAGGCTGATTCACGGTGGATGGCACATTAGACGTTTCTGGTGAACCAGACAACGGATCACTTTGAAAATTTAATGGAGGGCATATTCGGACATTCTCTAGCCAACTAAAATATTTTCGACAATGCGGTGTTGCCGCTTCTATTAGAAAGCAGTAGCAACTTTGATTTTTCAAATGGAACACTCTGTATATAATATTATTTTTGGAATC